CGGGTCCTACACTACCCGGACAATTAGCATAATAGTAGCTATATACGGACTCTCGTACATACGTACGTAGCCCCCACAGATAGTTACATACATTTATTTAATTCACCTATGGGGTTAAATTCCCTCTTACAAGGTTAAACAAGAGACTTACCTTGCCCCAAAGCTTACTTCCAAATTCAAGAATGCGCTCAAACCCTCAAATCGGAGCCGAACGTTCCAAAACTATTCAAATGGGGTAAAAACTAATCAATATATGCTCAAGAGTTCATATTCTAACTATTAAAGTAAATTTCCAACCCTAAATGCAAGGTTCCTAAAATTCATCCCCGGGCCCACGTGCCCGGATCCCGGAAATTTTTGAAGGAAGTTGTTACCCATAACATTAGGATCAAGAATATATGATTTCTAGTACATTCCATAACAAATTTCGTGGTTAAATCTCATTTTTATCAAAACCCTAGGTTTTTGCTTTAAACCCATAATTTTCACTAATTTACATGTTGTAATCCACCCATAAACTATGTATTAAACTCATATTAAGTAGAAATTACTTACCTCACAAAGCTAGGTTGAAATCTCCCCTTTTGAAGCTCCCAAATCGCCCAATAATGGTGTGAAATGAGTCAAAAATGACAAACTCTCATATTAAAAGAAGTCCACTGCCTTCAACGATTTCCACACCTACGGTGCGTTGACCGCATCTACGGTCTCGCTTCTGCGGACGATTGTCCGCTTCTGCGGAAATGGGCCGGGCCAGCTGGGACCGCATCTGCAGAAGGGTGACCGCTCCTACGGTTCCGCTTCTGCGGAAAAGGAGCCGTATCTATGGAACCTGGGCTCCTCCCCTTAGGCTGCATCTGCGATGCTTCAGCCGCATCTGCGGGCTCGCACCTGCGGCTGGCCAACCGCAGGTGCAGTTATGACAGCAAGTGGAGCTTCAGCTCCTTCTCAAATTTTCAACTTAGTTCGAGCCTCGTTCGATTGACGCTCGGGGCCCCCGGGGCCCCGCCCGAACATGCCGACAAGTTTGGAATCATAAAACGGACTCGCTCGAACCCTCGGAACACCCGAAACAACATTAAAACTAAGAATCACACCCTAAAACCAATTGAATCAAACTTATGAACTTCAAGTTCTTTAATCTACTTCCAATGTGCCGAAACGTAGTTATACTACTCGGAATGATACCAAATTTTGCGTGCAAGTCCTAAATGACATTATGGAACTATTCCCGATCTCGGAATTCCGTTCGGATCTCGATATAACAAAAACCCGTTCCAAACTAAATTTAAAGAACTTCAAAATCCTTAAGGAACCACTTCCACTATTAGGCGCCAAATCGCTCCCGGGTCATCCAAAATCCGATCCGGACATACGCCCAAGTTCAAAATCATCATACGAACATGTTGGAACCTTCAAATCCTGATTCCGAGGTTGTTTACTCAAAATGTTGACCGAAATCAAACTTGGCCTTTTAAGCCAACCTTAAGGAACCAAGTGCTCTGATTTCAACCCAAACTCTTCCAAATCCCGAACCAACATCCCAGCAAGTCATAAATCAGTAAAAGCAAGTACGGGAAGTCTTATTTAGAGGAACGAGGTTCTAGAAAGTAAAACGACCAGTCGGATCGTTACAGTAATTACTTAAAGCTTGAAAAGAATATTTACTACATTCCTAATGCTTTGAAAAGAATATTTACTACATTCCAAATGCTATAATCGTACAAGGAAATAAGAAAAATTAAAAATTAATGGTCAACTTTTAACAAAGATGATTATTTTCTTGTAGTAAATTTTTATGCATTAAATAAAAAGGTTAAATAATTAAGATTTTTATTATAAATTGCAATTCTAGTTTATCCAACATATAATACACTTATGAAGAATATAAAATCGATCAATATTTTATTGGAGTTTTGTGCTTTATATAATAGTATAGATAATATATAGTAATTTTTATAATTAACATAAACAGAGGTTTCAAATTTTTTCAAGATTTGGTTGAGGCTGATCAAATGAGTGAGTAAATTAAAGTTTCTCTCTCGTTAATTTGTAAATATACCCACCCATTGGTTGTGGTTTTTGCTTCTTCGCATACATTCGTTCTATTTTCTTGACGACTTTATTTTCCAATTTTAACTCGATTTTCCAAATCAAATGTTTATATTTCTCATTAAAAGTTTGTTCGAAGGAATTAATTCTTAAAAAGATTAATTTATATCTTTGCATCTTAAAAACTTAGAAAAGTAAACTTTAAATAAAAATATACACGAACTTATTAAAAAGTTTATGGTATCTTATTAGATGTTAGCTTTAGGCCATCGATTTTATTGAGCCGTCCCTAACGGCTATGTATACTAATAATTCATCAAAATTTACTATACGAAGTCATAGTTGTATAGTTAGTCAATCAAATTAAACTGAAAACTACATAACACCAAGTATCAATTAGAGTCGACTGAATTCTCTATCTACTGTATTCTATTTAGGCACATTTCCTCCATGTCGATCGGATATGCTGAGTGTGCCCGGCTATACTAACAATTCATCAATATAACAATTCATTAAAATTTCACTATTTTGACACTGAACTAGCTATACTGAGCTCACATAGGTAAGAACAAAAAATAAAAACAGAAACATTTCACTGCATGAACATCAGCAAATATAGAAGCATGCTTACATTAAAACGAACTCAATGAATCGTGATTATCAAATTTTTGAAGTTCAGTTTAGTCGTCTAAAGTTTTTGGTTCTAAACATAGTTAATTAACAATACTCTACATGTAACTAGATGTTCTAAAATGATACAAATAAACAAAAATGATATGGACTCAATGAATCATGTGTACCGACCGGTCGTTTCGAGTCCTAGCGTGTCGTTCGACTGTTTGAGGCCTTGGGTAACTTCACTTCATGTATTATGACTTGTACGTATGGTCGGAATTGAATTTCAGGAAGTTAGGAGTTGATTCGGATGGAAAATTCTCAATTCGGAAGCTTTAAGTTGGAAGAATGAACTAAGGTTTGACTTTTGAGTAAACGACCTCGGAATCAGGATTTAAAGGTTTCAATAGGTTCGTATGATGATTTCGGACTTGGGCGTGTGTTCGGGTTGAGTATCGGGTGGTCCGGCAGCATTTCGGGCTTATTATGGAAAGTAGGCATTTTTGAAAGTTTTAGAATTTCATAAATTTGGTCTGAAGTGGATTTTGATGATATCGATGTCTGTTTGGGGTTACGATCCTTGGAATAGGTTCGTGTCGTGATTTGTGACTTGCACTCAAAGTTTAGCGTCATTCCGGAATATTTTGATATGATTCGGACGCGTTCGTCGAAGTTTGGAAGTTTGAAAGTATAAAGAAGGATTTTGATCGTCGATTCGTAGTTTTGATGCTGTTTGGTGTGATTTGAGGCTTCGAGCAGGTTTGTTTCACGTTTTGGGATTGGTTGGTGTGATTGGACGGGGGCCTCGGGTGTGTTTCGGGGTGGTTCTGAACCAAGTTTGGCTAAGTTGTTGTTGCTAGTGTCTGCTGTCTGGTTTTGTTCTTCGCGAACGCGATGGGATTCACGCGTTCGCGAAGAAGGATTTGTTGGATGCTGACTTTTGTGCTTCGCATTTGCGACTGGGGCCACGCGTTCGCGTAAGGTGAGGCGGCAAAGCTTCGCGTTCGCGATGGCATCTTTGCGTTCGCGAGGAAGAAGCTGGCCTGGGAGATTTCCTTAGCCTTCGCGTTCGCGGATTGGGCACCGCGTTCGGGATGGTTCACCTGGTAAAGCATCGCATTCACGAGCTCTGACTCGCATTCGCGAAGGAAGATTTTGGAGCTGGAGCTGGTATTGCTTCGCGAACGCGAGGGACTTGCCCCGTTCGCGAAAAAGATCGGATTGGGCAGTGTGATTTTAAAAACGGGGGTTTTGGCTCATTTCCACTTTATTTCTTCCATGGAAGCTGACTTTGGAGCGTTTTTGGAGCACCATTTTCATCGTCAATCATGAGGTAAGTGATTTCTACAAGTTGTGAGTCAAATGTACGAATCTAGGCTTGTAAATTCATGAAAATTTATGGAAATTATGAGATCTTAAGAGAAAACCTAGAAATTGGTACTCTTGGAATTTGACATGGAATTGGGAATAAATTATATATTTGAGATCGTAATGTTATGGGTAATGTTTATCTTCAAAAATTTTCGGAATCCAGGCACGTGGGCTCGAGGGTTAACTTTGTTGACGAGCGGAGTTGGTAAGTGTTATAAATTAATTAATTAATTAATTATGATGTTGGAGTATAGTTTTATTGGCTTTCATGATTGTTTGGCTAGTTTCGGATCGTTGGCTTTGAATTGAGGAGTTAAAGAGGTGTTGGAGCCGGTTATAGAACTTCGGAGTGAGGTAAGTCTCATGTCTAACCTTGTGAGGGGGAATCTACCCCCTAGGTGATGTAATTGTTATGTGCTACTTGTTGTGGGTGCTACGTACGCATGAGCTGACGAGAGTCGTACGTGGCTAAAGCATGTCTATGTTCGGGTAGACTTAGGACTTTACCATGTAATATTTGAATTATTTGAACTCATCCTGCTGGCTTAATTAATTGAAATTATAATTGAACTTGATTTAGAAATTACTTATATATTAGACCGAGCCTTATCACCATGAGTTGTTGGCAAGTTATTTGAGAATCGGTAAAGTTTATACTCACTTTGTGTTCATATACTGTATCGTAAGCACATGCCTCGTAATTCAAAAATTCCTTTCCTTTCTTCTGGAGTGGGCCGAACGCCTCGGTATGATCATGTACCACACTCTTATGGGAGCGGTCTGTTCGCCTCAGCAGTATAATAGATGCATCTATGGTTCGTGCCGCTCGACCCTCGGCAGTGTACACGTTATGATGGGATCGGGCCGTTCGCCTCAGCAGTATCATATTCCTTCTGGGATCAGGCCGTACGTCCTCGGCATAGTCGTGCGTTATATTGCTAGCAGTCAGAATGTTCACGAGATTATCCTTCCACTGATGCCCAGAACTTTACATGGCAGTTCTTTATCCGTTTGATATTGGCACTTGATATTTCTGAGCTGTTGAGATAGAATACGAGATTGAAAAACTGATATCGTTAAAAGAAATTTTGAAAGATTGTGTTAGTTACAGATTTACCTCACTACTACTGTTGTGCTTCCTATTTGTTTATGATTTACCATATTGATTTATTGGACCACTAGTAAGTGTCGATGTCGACCCCTCGTCACTACTTCTCCGGGGTTAGGCTAGATACTTACTGGGTACGTGTTGATTTACGTACTCTTGCTGCACTTCTACACTAAATGTGGAGGATCTGACATGTCCATTTAGTGATCATCTTGGCGTAGGCGCAACTGCTAAGGAGACTATATGTGGGCTGCATTCCAAGCTATGCATCGCAGTCCACAGAGTCTACTGTATTGGAAAAAAAACTGAATTTATAATTGAAGATGACGTGGCATGACACGTAGACTGGTCAAATGGTCAAAACATGATGAGCAATTAAGAGGCACGGGAGATATCAGATACGAGGAGAAGAAAGTTAAATAGGCACGAGATGCTATTCAAATGATACGAGTCTCGTATCTATTTAACTTAATTAAAGCCAGGAGGTCAGAAGGAATTGAAGATATGAATCTGATAACATAAAGGAGTCTAAATTCAGTATTAAATGTCAAATACGTTAGCGAATCAGTATTGATTAGGAATGATTGTGTAACGTTTCATTTAATGTCATTTAATGCTCATAATTGCCTCTTTAAGGCTAAGGCATTATACCTTTTCCTAGAAAAATCAACTATAAAAGGAGGAGGTCTCAGCATTTGTAAGGACACAAAATATCATTGAGATTACATTGAAATACGAACTTATTTACTGCTTTATTATCTTCAAAAATTTCTTATTCTTTTCATCTCCTGATTATCAGTAACCCGATTTTTCTTCTTAATTTCTAGTTTTAACCGAAATTCTATTTTTTTGGTTAAACATCTACATCGTACTCTTTATTTTATCCTGTCTCATTTACATTCTAGACAGATGTTGTATTATTATTGTACTCCTTAGTAAATGCTCATGCACTTGTGGTACCGGGGTTTTGTGATATAGTAGCTGATGCTTACGGTTCTGTATATTATCATCGCCTTTCATTTCTCTTATAAACTACAAAGTTTGTACGTTCCCGTGGATTTAAAAGTGTAAATTTCCTTCCTTACTAAAATTTATTATTTCGAAAGTAATTAAATGAGTAATTAAATCGATCAATCACCGTTGACTTGCCTGACGACGGCATTAAATCGATCAATCGATCTCACACTTTTGAGGTAAGTCAAAACTCAAAACATAAAGTGCTTTTACATTACATCAACACCAGAAGAATGAATCAACTAAAAAACTAAATATCAACCTAAATCATCGAGAAAAACTAATTAGAGTAGACAGTACGCTCGAGAAAAATATTTTTTTCGAGAAAGAGATGATAGACTCAAAACGCCGATTCTGAATTTGATAAGTATAACAAACATGTAATTAAATGTTATAAAATGATACAAATAAACCGAAACAATAGAGAAAAAGCTTATATATGAACGTCTCAAACAAACAAATCGAAAATCCATATCCGAAAACTGAATTTTATTGAAACCCAATTACATTACATTGTGGCTGCACTATTCGAGTGCTTGTCTATATTTTTGAGAAGAAATACTACTACTAGTTAGCCGGAGATAACCAATGGCTCCTTTTTGAATTGAGTCATTAATTATTCGATAAGTATTATTAATAGTCTAAAATCTTAATTATGTACCGTCAATTCTCTCTATAACAGTCACATTTGTTCCGATCTTTTTTGGTTTTTATAGTGAATGGCTGTTATGCACCTATAACAACATTATATTGGACGTTTAAATATTTTTTGGCTGTTATAGATAAAAGTTATTCAAAAATCAATTATTTTTTCTTTTTTAATGTTACATATAAAAGATAGAAAAGTATCTAAAATTAAATCTCAAAAGATATGCATAATTTACTAGTTAAATATTGAAGAAAGCTAATACATTATTAGTAAATTCATAACTAAACTTATACATATTTAAACTCTAAGGCAGACATTTTAAATATACCTAGAGAAATAAATTCTTTCAAGATTAATGGAAGAACTTTGTAATTGTAGCTTGTTTCGTAGATTTCATTCTCTTACTAATACAACGCTTGAATTGACAAAGGTTCGTGTCCAAATTTTCAGCAAAAAGATATCCAATAGCTTTTCCTTGAAGACAATATAAGAGCTTAACAGTTAAATTTTCTATCTAAATATTTTTTGGAATTTGTCCAATAAAAAATATATCATGTGCAAATCTTCAAATCTTATATATTATGTAAGATAGAAACTTTGTTTAATGGGATAAATTGTGTGAATATTTTTAGAATTATTAGTAATCTTAAAGATTCTATATAGATGTTATAGAGGGGTAATTTTACAAATAGCGTTCTGCATATGGATGTTGTTATAAGTAAAAAACTGTTTAGAGAGGTAAAATAAAATTTAAAAAATTGGTTCTGAAAAAAACTTAGCTTTTATAGTGAATGATTGTTATATAGGATGTTGTTAGAGAGAGGTCTGTATTTTCTCGAGTACTTGTTTATATTGAATTGCATAATTCTACATTATTTCCAAAAAAAACATTAATTTGCCTTTGATATATATCGCTTAAAAAAATTCTGAATATTCTCAGGAAGAATATTAAAGACAATAAACTTAGCTTGGAAAATATAAAAGAAAATTTCCCTACTGTGGTCTACAATCGTGAGGTATCATTTTGTGTTGTAGCATGTGCATATTTTTTGTACTTCAAATCGAGTAGTATCATTTGTGTTTTTAGCATATAAATTACGCTGATTCAATTAAGTATAAGGCATGAATATGAAATTAGAAAATGTAGAAAGACCTTCATTAGATGTAAAATTTAGGTAATCCACTTATGTTACCGTCATCAATTTTGTCGTGGCAAAAAATTCCAGTCCTTTTTAATGAGTAAGAGTTATCATTTACCAATTACTTTGCTTCACAAATCAACACCACCTATTTGTGGGTTTTCAAAATTTCTTTAGGTTCAATAATGGTGGATTTCGATTTCTCACTACAATCCACAAGCACTAACTCATAGTGTGAAGCAAGGGATTGTACAACAACTAAGAAGGAGGAGGAGGGGGAGAAGAAGAAACAAAGGGGGTTTGTCTGAAGTTTGCTAAAATTGGCTACAAATTAAATATTTTGGAATATCTAAATATAGCTTAAATAACATAGTCAAACTGGCTACCATGTGAAATTTTACTCATTCAAACAACTATTTATGCACTTCCCCTGTTTGTTTGGTGCGATATTGATACCTATATACAACTCTAAAGAGAAAATGACAATTATTTAGCCAATAATTGGCATTGGCTCGTATAGCCCAAAAACAATGGTAACAGATAGCTCGTATAACTTTGTCTCTCTAACTTTCTTCATATTTTTTCTTAACCCCACCCTAGATCTTTCTCCAATAACCCCTCAATAACCTAGAATTTTTTTTAAAAAAAATTTTAGGTAGTCCTTTGTCACTGGAAGGGGTGCAAGTTCAGCAGCGCGACTCAGGAAGAGTACGAAGATGTGAGGCTTGATTCACAAGTCATCTCTAAGAGAGAAAGTTTCAAGTACATTAGGCCTATTATACAAGGGAATGGGAATATTGACGAAGATGTGACACACTGTATTTGGATGGATGAAATGGAGGCTCGCTTTGGTATTTTGTGTGATAAGAATGTGCCACCAAAGCTTAAAGGTAAGTTCTATAGAGCGGTGGTCAGATCAACTATGATGTATGGGGCAAAGTGTTGGCTAGTCAAGACATCCCATGTCTAGAAGATAAAGGTGGAAGAGATAAGGATATGGAGGTGGATGTGCGAGCATACCATGTCAGATAAAATTAGAAATGAAGTTATTCGGGACAAGGTGGGTGTGGCCCCCATGGAGGAAAAGATGCGGGAGGTGAGACTTAGATGGTTCATGCATGTGAAGAGGAGAGGCACTGATGCTCCGGTGAGGAGGTGTGAGAGGCTGGCATGGGAGGGCCAATGGGGAGATAGAGGCAGGCCAAAGAAGTATTGGAGAAAGGTGATTAGGCAAGATATGGCGTTGCTCCAGCTCACTGAGGACATGACCATGGATAGGAAGGTGTGGAGGTTGAGAATAAAGGTAACGGATTAGGTGTTCGAGTGTTGTCCTTGTTTGTAGCAGTAGCTTTGATACACCACTTGGTGCCTTCTGTTTTTTTTGTACCCATAGTCTTATGTCACGACCCAAATTCTCCCTCCGTAAATTTGTCGTGACGATACCTAGTCGTAAGCCTAATATTTGCGGAAATAAAATAAAAATCCTAAAAGCTAACAACTAACAGTAACAGAACAACATAACCAATAATAACGCCGCTCGGTATGTACAGTAACCAACACTGAACGTACATAGTTTTCCCCCGGAACATCATGAGTCACAAACTACAGAGAGAAAAATATAGTATCTCTATACTCCAGAGTCTAACAAAAGAAAATAAAGTAAGTGTTTAACATGGGGAAGAGTAGGAAGGGACTCCGAGGTCTGCGGACGCGGTAGATATACCTTGAAGTCTCCAAAGCTGTCTCGACATACTGATAATGCGATTGATAAGCAGTACCTGAATCTGCACACACAAAAAACATGTGCAGGGAAGGGCATGAGTGCACCACAATGGTACCCAGTAAGTGCCAAACCTAACCTCGGTCGAATAGTGACGAGATCAGGTCAGGGTCCTACTGGTATATATAAAATAAAACAAGATAGAATGAAATATCACGGTAAAATAAAGACTAAATTTTAACAAGAATGAAATCATAGAAAGGTAACAGCTCAGTACACAGAGATAACAACAGGGGATCTCCCGAGATACCGTCTCGTAGTCCCAAACGTAAATGTGCAGGAGGATCTTCCAGAATACCGTTCAGTAGTCTCAAAGTAAATTGCAAGACATGGAGATCTCCCAGAATACCATTCCGTAGTCCCAAAATAAATATGCAGGGGGATCTCCCGGAATACCGTTCCGTAGTCCCAAAGTAAACATGCAGTACAGGGAATCTCTCGTAATACCGTTCCGTAGTCCCAAAATAAATATGCAGCTTAAAGAACGGAATTTAACAGTTATAGCAAGAAAACCTACAGTTTAGACTAAGTACAAGTCAAGGAATACCGGAAATTTCACTAAACATGCTGCACAGAATTCAGATAAGCAATTAAGGCAAATAGACATGCTATTCTAAGCTAACAGGATACTACACATGCTGAATATAACTCAAATAAGAAGAAGACAAGTTATTATTCAGTAGAAAAATTGGATTTTATAACAAATAGCCCGTGTATGTACTCGTCACCTCACGTACACGATGCTCACATATCAAACATTACCAAATCCTAAGGGGAGTTCCCCCACACAAGGTTAGGCAAGCAACTTACCTCGAACCAATCTCAATCACTTGATAACAATGCCTTTTCCACGAATATCCGACTTCAAATGGCCCAAATCTAGCCAAAATCAATTACATATCATAAATATAACTATAATAGACTAATCTAATTAATAAAATCAAGACTAAAATAAGAAATTAGAAAATCGCCCTAAAAAGTCTCCCCGGACCCACGTCTCGGAATCGGGTAAAAGTCACAAAATATGAACACCCATTCACTCACTAGTCCAACCATACCAAAATTAGCCAATTCCGATCACAACTCTACCTTCAAATCCCCAATTTATAGTTTATGAAGTTTCTATAATTTTTCTCAAATTTCCATCTCAAAGTACTAATTAAACGATGAAATCTGTTATATATTCATGTATATTAACCAAATTCGAGTTGGAATCACTTACCCCGATGAATTTCTTAAAAAACCCACGAAAAATCATCTCAAAGCGAGCTCCCAAAGTCCAAAAATGAAATAATACCCTAGACCTCGATTATATAGTACCCATCTGACCTCTCAATGTGTGTTCCGCACAATTACTATTGCGGTCGCACATCCTAGCTTCTGCGGTCGCACAAAAATTGTGCGGCCGCAGATCACAGCCTCTCCACTACCAGGTGTAACGACCCGACTGGTCGTTTTGAGCAATTGCGCGCAGCTCGACAGTTTGAGGTCTCGAGTAGCTTCATATTATGTGAATCGACTTGCATGCGCAGTCCGGGCGTGAAACCGGAAAGCTTTTATGTGAAAATATGAAGAAAAAAAATAGTAATTTTTAGAGTTAAAATTTGGTTTTTAGTTGACTTTGGTCAACATTTTTGGTAAACGGACCCGGATCTGTGTTCCGATGATCCCGGGAGGTGCCCGGTAAAATATAGGACTTGGGCGTATGCCCGGAATTGAATTCCGAGGTCCCTAGCCTTAGAAAACAATTTTTGAAGAAAATTATTGTGCTGGTTTTTAAAGGAAATAAAGAAATGAATTAATGTTTGAACTCGATGGTATCGGGCCCGTATTTTAGTTCCGGAGCCCGGTACAAGTTTGTTATGATATTTAAGTCCTATCTGTAAAATTTGGTGAAAACCGAAATTTATTTGACGTGATTTGGACGTCCGATTGAAAAGTTAGAAAATCACGAGTTTTGAGGTTAAATTCATAGTTTTGATGTTATTTTGATGATTTGATTGCACGAGCAAGTCCGTATGATATTTTTAGACTTGCGTGCATGTTTGGTTCGGAGCCCCGATGGGTTGGTGAGTTTCGGATAGGTTTAGGCTATGTTGCGCTTGTTTTTGGATGCAACGTCGTTTCTTCAAGCAAAAATAATACCATATTTAGCAAATGAGATCCAAATTCAGTTTTGTTTGAACCATTAGATCTGTATCGAAATTACGGATCCATAGGAAAAAGAATCACCGAATTTGGACATCGTATGAGGAAGTTATGCTCATTTTTGTGTCAGGAAAAAATTGCTGGTTCTGGTGTGGTCGCAAATGCGAACTTTTTAACGCATTTGCGATGCCGAGTTCGGAAATGCGAGATTTTTGTCGCAAATGCAACTTTTGCCAGCCCTGCGTTGTTCGTAATTGCGAGGGGTTCGCAAATGCGAACCTTGGGCCGCAAATGCGACATCTGAGATCTGTTAGTTGAGATTTTTGACGAGATTTTCACCCATTTTTCAATTTTCTCAGCCCTAAACCTCCATGGGCGATTTTACAAGGACCCAAACTTCTCCAAAACATTGGGTAAGTGTCTCTAATCAATTTCCAACTATATTTTGTGATTATATCTTAGATTTAACATCAAATTCATAAGAATCTAAAGGAAAATTTGGGAAAATTGTGAAATCTTTGAAAAATATAAAATGATGATTTGAATGAGCAAATGGTATCAGAAATAGATAATTTTTGTATGGGTGAACTCGTAGCGGAATGGGTGTTCGATTTTTATGTTCTGAGGTGCGAGCCCGGGGAGTTGACTTTTGTTGACTTTTTGCAAATTGTATAAGAATCATAGTTTTGTCAATTGAAATTGTTTTCTCTTACATTGTTTGATGTATTCAAGTCGTTTTTGGCTAGATTGAGCCGATCGTTGATGAATTGGTAAAGAAAAAGCTATATTGAGTATTGAATTGGCCGGATTGAGGTAAGTATCTTGCCTAACCTTGTGTGGGGGACTTCCACATAGGATTTGAGTCTTCTATGCTAATTGTAGTTCGTGCATGCGAGGTGACGAGTGGGTGCTCGGACTTTTTTGCGGAAAATTATCTCTAGGGTTCTTAGGTCCTTATGTGGAAAGTATCCTGTTATGATTGGGTTTCCTAGTTGCTTAAATTACCTCTATAAGCTCCATATGACGTTGTTAGCTTTTCTTTAATTCTCATGTGTTACATTGACCCTTAATTGTCTTAATTGAAGTGATTGCCTTCCTTATTATTTTGATACTTTTTGATTGTGAGTTCCTCCATGTCCAATTGTTGTGGTTACCGGTGTAGTTATCACGTGCTTATTATGTCTTGTTGTTTTGTTGAGGTTATCGTGCTTCTTGGTTTTTCCGTGACCCTTATTATGTACTTGTTGATTCCCTTGCCGGGACGTTATTTCTTATGATATTATTTCCCTTGCCGGGATATTGTTGTTATACTATTGTTCCCTTGCCGGGATGTTATTGTTTATGATATTGTCTCCCTTGCCGGGATGTTGTTGTTATACTCTTGTTCCCTTGCCGGAATTCTTTTATGATTGATGATGATTTGTAAATGGGAGCGGGTTGCACGCCTACAACGAGATATGTGAAATGGGATCGCGTTGCACGCCTGCAACGAGATATGTGAAATGGGATCGGGTTGCACGCCTGCAACGAGATATGTGAAAAGGGATCGGATTGCGCGCCTGCAACGAGATATGTGAAACGGGATCGGGTTGCACGCCTGCAACGAGATATGTGAAATGGGATCGGGTTGCACGCCTGCAACGAGATATATGAAATGGGAGGGGGTTGCACGCCTGCAACGAGATATATGAAATGGGAGCGGGTTGCACGCCTGCAACTAGATATATGAAATGGGAGCGGGTTGCACGCCTGCAACGAGATATGTGAAATGGGAGCGGGTTGCACGCCTGCAACGAGATATGTGAAATGGGATCGGGTTGCACGCCTGCAACAAGATATGAAATGAAAGTGAAATTCTGTGTTTGTTTTCCTTATCCTTGTTAGTAATTGGATTTTGGTGCCGTGCACTTTCTGTTTGCTATGTTTATTTGTTGTTACCAATTCAAGTGTTTTATCTGTTCAGATTCCTTTACCGATGTGATCCTTTGTGAAAGAACCCCATCATGTTTTCAATACTTTGCCGTATTTATATACATATTTTTTAGTACTTCAAATTTCAATAATTGTTTCATCCTAATTCATTTAGTTAGTCAATTAAATTTTCTTAAACCGTCTGAGGTTGTATTTTACTTGAAAATGGAATTTCTACTAAGATAATTTATTAAATTTTTTGTTAAAGGATATTTCTTTCGATATTGTACTTTAATTGAAAATGGTACTTTCTTTATTTAAATGATTTCTAAAAATAACTTCATCTTTTCTTGTTGAGTTCCTAATTGGTTTAGAAGCTTTACTCCACTTAGGTTATGTAAACCAGACTCCTTGAACATCTTAATTGTATTGGTTACAGACCCTATGAACCGAGTAACATGAGAGTGTTGTTGTGTAAAGTGAGATAGAAATATGTGGGCACGAGGTGCCGGGTGTGCTAAAAGTTTGGTAATTGAGGTTATGATATGAGACATCGAGTTTGAGATGGTTGGAAATTGTGCATCAGAAACGATATGACTTATTGAGCTGGCATCGCCTTCCTTGTTTGAGTATATTTTTCTTTACTTGTCTGTGTTCCAGCTATGTTGGTGTTAATTTATCTGGTTATCTTCGTTTCCACCCGTGTTTCTCTTTATTATTTCTACTGATTGTAGTTTGTTCTTTCCCTGCTGTTGATATTACGATGTCATTTTTAGATTGATAGTTTATTATCAAATCCTGTTCAATTTATTTGACCAGTACGTGTCTGAACTGTTCCTCGTCACTACCCCACCGAGGTTAGTCTTGATACTTATTGGGCACCGCCGTGGTGTGCTCATACTACACTTCTGTACATTTTTGTGTACAGATCTAGGTATTTGATTG